ATTTTTGTATTCCCTCACTTCCACCAAATGGAAAAATGTAAGGACTGGAAAAACTAAATAAAAAATTAATTAAATTTTCTTTGTCTGCCATATTTAACAAAAGGTGTTTAAAAGAAAGGTTGCTGCCCAACTTCTTAATCTAAGCCCACAAAGAAAACTTTTAGGTCAATTTATTTTTGGTATTGTTTTATCTTGCATTTTTTATTTTTCTATTTTTGTATATCTGTCTGTCTGGGATATCTTGATTCCATTTCATTAAATGTAGTCAGTCTGATCAGATGAAGATGCTCATATTGATCAAAATAAATTTATTACTGACTATAGATTTTTAAGGTTTTCTTCCTAATTATTCTTATAATTTGCTCAGTATCATATATTGAGCACTCATATGGACTGAAAAGTCCTCTTTGGAATAATCCCTACCAATTACAATTTAGTATTATTTATATATATATATATATATATACACACACACACACACACACACACTTAAACTATATCAGATTTTATTATAAGATTCAATTTTTTCACAATAAAATTGGTCTGAACCAACCAATGTTGATAAAAGTTTTAGAATATACCATATATATTCATCTATAACTGATACGAATATAAGCTGTCTGCACTATTCTATGTCTGAGTGATGGGTAAGAGTACAAACTCTGTGTGTATGTCGAGAGAGCTAATAAACGCATTATGTTCAGATAATGCCATTTTGTAAATGTTTTTCAAGTGTCATTTAGAGTATAGTTTTTATTTCACAACTCCATTATAGAATTATTTTTTACCATTTCATGTGTTTTCTAAAGTTTCAAATTTCTATTATCTTTAGCTACTTTCTTTTAGCAGACAACAAGGATTTTATTTAACATACAAATTGAATAAAATGCGTGCCTTAAAAAACTTGGAAGCCATTTAACATCCTAGAAATAGATCCATTTTTGCAAAGTTATTAAAGTTTTAGATAGTGAACTTGATACCCATATATCATATAATAGGAAAATAAAATCTTGTGCAAAAAATAAGTAATATATAAAATTTAGAGAATAAATAAAATACACAGATATTTAATTCTCAATATTATCAAATGAAAGCATAAATACAGCGTGTGAGTATTAAAAATATTCTGTAAAATGCTTATAAAATTTGAATAAAAGAGTATTTCATTATAAAACAATTACTCCATGTGGAGTGAGTAGCTATGGTTAAATGCAAAAATAAATGAGAGAATTGCCCAACAAACAGAATCAACAGTTTGCTATAAGCAATAACAAGAAAAAGAAAAGAACAGGGCAAAAAATAATACAAAGCAAGCAAACAATATATGTAAGACAAATCAACAGTTATAAGGTAAATTAGCAGTAATGAAGCAAAAAGTTCACAAACTAAGAATTAGTGTTCTGACTTCAAGTTAAGACAAACTAGGACTGAGTCAATTGAAACCAAGAACCAGCCAATTTCGGGGAGGGGCAGGTGTTTTGAAGTTTTTCCTGGCAATTGAAACCAACACTTCATATATTTTGTCATTTTATTTTTGCTAACAAAGATGTTGAAGTTTGTGAAAAGTGGCAAAGTACTGACCTTGAATAGAAACCCGACCTCAGTTTTATACATGAATATATATATTATACATATAAGAGAGTTTCAAATTATCTATCCTCATTAAAAACATTGATAATACCTTGTTTTGGGAGTGTCAGATTTTCACGCACAATTTTATTTATGAATAAAAAGAAAAATATCATCTATAGAAACACAGAATTAATTAATACAATATCCCATATATTTGAATAAATTATGATTCTGTTATTTTACATTAATACGATCTCCCTGAAATAGAATAAACATCATCAGTTTTTTATTCATTGATTTTGTTAACTTTCCAACTGTTTCAATAAAGACGACTTCTTTATTTGAATATTGTTTTTCATTCTCGTATACATGTTTTAATGATGGATCACAAGTTTTTTTTTGTTTGGATTAATATCTATCTGGAGAGGCTGAGCACCATACCTTTAATTGGGTGTCTTTGAAACCTTTTTTGGCAAGGTGAGCAATAGTAATTACAAAAGTACGCAGGTGTAGGCTTTAAGAAAGCTTTATTCAACTGAGAATACAAGGTTCATGTATAGTATCCTTTTATAGTCCCAGTAAACAGAAATAGCTGTCTCACAGAGGAGAGTAACAAAACAAGGGGAGACTACTCTTGATTATTCATAAGAGTCAGTTTTACAAAAGGGGAAGGAGCATTGTCTTGAATAAATGTACTTTTTAGCTTAAATCTTCTGAGTGGCATATACTTAGAAAAATATCTTGTCCAAGATCTTAGAAGAATTCTCAGTGTTTACTTGATAACATTATCAACTTTGAAAGGGTCAATAAATTTATTGCCTAGAATACTAATGCAAAACACCTACTAATGCTTGCTGAACCCCAGAATGATTCAACCATCCCATTTATTAGGTTAATCTGATATAGCTCTATATTCATCAATAAAAATTACTGTTAAGAAATCAGTTTTCAACTACTTTCTATTAAAATGGCAGTTTTTAAGATGAGTTACATTCTCTAGTTCCACCAGTTCAGACATTCACAGCTGAGACCTGCCATATCATAATCACCGTGGCATATCATCCATATTCCCTTCATGTTCTTTTTGATAAGAACCCAGCTCCACTCAGACAGCTTCTTCCACAGAACTGTTACTCTCAAAAAAGGTGCTTCTCTGACAACAACAATCTTGGTCATGTAAGTCCAGGGTCAATTGATATCGATCCTACATGTCCTCATTCTTACTTCCTCCTTCCTTATAACACTCTTATTCAGTAACCCTCTTCCTTGAGTGAGTCTTGGGCCTTGTATTTGGTAAACAAACAATAAAACAAAAAAAATTCTGCAAAACTTCCACTTTGAATCTGTGGTGTTGGCTTAAAGTTGGTAGTTTGGTTGCTTTCATTCCTTTGCTTTAGGTTGGCATTAGTCATCTTTATAGAATTTGAAGAAACACCATCTTGCATGAATTTACCATTTTGTTTAAAGCTTCTTAGTTGTGACCTGTACCATTCAAAAACATTTTATTGAAGAACTTAAAATAATTCTCTGCATTTATTTTGACACCTTCATTCATTTTGAACAAACCTCCTATAATATTACTGCCTATAATACTAACCCTAAACAAATCTCTCCACAGTAGGCATTGTCTTCTTAGTTATGTTTACTGATCCAGCCATCATGCCTCTTCGATGAAGCTATCCATTCATCACTAAAAATTACTATTTAAAAATCAGTTTTCATCTACTTCTTCACTATACTTAGACATTTCTCTTTGTAATGTTTACTGAAAGATAATAGCTCGATTTCCTTCATTCTTTTAGTCAATCTTCTTAATATTAGTATTATTATTCTTTTCTTTTTGTTGACATTTGCAACACCAACTTGAAATATTTTCTTCTTGTTGGTCAATTCACTTTCTTTGGTTATTATGCCTTTAATATTTCTCAAATCTTTTTCTGATAATTTTAAAAACAGTTTTTTTTTCTCTTGTTCCTATCTTTACAATGTTTGCTTTGGTTTCATGCTCGTCTCTCTCTCTCTCTCTCTCTCAACATTTCATGGTCGTCTCTCTCTCAACATTTCATGGTCGTCTCTCTCTCAACATTTCATGCTCGTCTCTCTTTCTCTCTCAACATTTCATGCTCGTCTCTCTCTCTCTCTCTCTCAACATTTCATGCTCGTCTCTCTCTCTCTCTCAACATTTCATGCTCGTCTCTCTCTCTCTCTCTCAACATTTCATGCTCGTCTCTCTCTCTCTCTCTCAACATTTCATGCTCATCTCTCTCTTCAACATCTCATGCTCTCTCTCTTTAACATTTCACAATTTCCAGTATTGTGTTCTTATCTTTCAATAACTTCTTGTTTCTCTTTTAAGGTTAGATCTTTCTAACAATACATGGCAATCTTTATCTATCTGAAATTAACTCTCAATAACTATACTGTATTTATAAATAACTATCAGTATATTGATAGATATGGATAACTATACTATTAAATATATTTATTAACAATATGAGTAACAATCCTCTAAGTTGTATGATAAAATCTCACACCAACAAATATGTTGTTGCAAATATTTCTAATAGAAACATTATATGTTGAATTTATCATGGAATATTTAGAAGTATATACTAAAAATTTTGCAGCACAGTTAATACTAATTTTATAGTGAAAACATTGACATCAATTTATTATTTTATAACAATAGAAAATTGGAACCCCAATTTAGGTCCAGTAGAAACATACTAATAGTTAATATAAATATATCTTGAAATATTTTCCAACATTGATTGATTAATTTTATAGTGCAAACATTGACTTGCATCATAAATTTGATTGATTAGTAGAACTTGTATCAGTAAAAAAATTTTACTGGTTATTTTAAGCCAGAAAATATTTTAAGACGGTAAGGACTTTTTTTAGCTAATAAGAATTTTTATTGATACACATTCTACTAATTAACCTATGGCTGGATGGAGAAGAGATGGATTCAGTCTTTTCCTATGAGTCTTTGCACATAAGTGAATATAACGACTGTAATAATAATAATAGGTTCCTTGTGTCCCACAAAACATTCAACCTTTTCTGCACAGGGATGAAAGTTTTGTGGGGCATCAGGAACCTCTTCTTGCCACTCTCAAACGGAGAAAAATGGCATGGTTTGGACACATTACAAGACACGACAGCCTGTGCAAAAACCATCATGCAAAGCACTGTTGAAGGTGGGCATAGGAGAGGACACTGGTTGTCCAATGACAAACAATGGACAAGTATGACTGTACTAGAATTACTGATGGCTGCCGTTGATAGACTATTATGAGTTAGGGTGGCTTCTGCATTCAGATCTGCCTTATGATTACAAAAGTCAAGTGGATGATGATGATGAACACGGCTCTCTGATTTACAATCCAAACCCATTATCCATTACACCACCCACACATCCAAACTTACAACACCTGGTATTCCCAAGCAGTCACCCATCTAGGTACTGACCAAGCTTGACATTGCTTAATTTTGGTGATCATGCGAGGACTGGTGTCTCAATGTGATATTGAAGCTTACAATCTAACACTATTTAGTAAGTTCTAGGGTGGAGCAATTTGCTACTTAATAACAATATAAAATTTAATAATATTTATTGTGAAAACATTGACTTGCTTCATAAAATCTTACATTGGATAGTAATTCTAGCAGGGGTATCAGTTTATTACACTCAAAAAATTATTTTTTGTATTTACTTTCCTGAAGCTGTAAAAAGAAGAAAGTGATGTAATCTTTTAATGTGCAGATAATTTTATTATAAACCTGTTAATACACATAATACAAGAATTATAGTTCTAAAACATGAACAGTAAGTAAATGACTAGATGCTTATTTCTGAGTATGCTTGTCTGCTAGCTAATCCCTGTTGCAGTCACTTGCTCAGGCACATTTGTGTTTCTTAACACTCAGGGAATCCACCTTTGGTTTCAGCAATAATTCTGGCCTAATCTTGGTGTCTTGGCTACAGTCACATTCCTACTGCCCTAAGGTTGCTTCCATTTACCTTTTCTAGGGATGTTTTCATGGTAATTGTTTGGATGAGCTATAGTGCCTAACCTCTTCAAATTTAAGTTCAGCATAAGACTGGTGACAAGTTTTCACCAATTTACAGTCAAGCTGGCTAGATGTAACCCTAAATTCTATGCTAACAGTTGCTTTTCTCACACTTTTCACATGTGGAACTCCCTTTGGTTTGTAAAAATTTAAATGCAATCACTATCTGCTGTTCTCCTGATTACTTTTCCTCTGTTCTCACTCCTTAGCAATGTTCCTGTTTCTAAAATCTTTCACACCCAGTAACCCCTTGCATCTTTGTGGTTTTACTGCCTTGCTTGGGGTGAAGTTGATTAAAACAGAAAAAAAAACTATGATGAACACTTTCGGGGAGAAATCTGGTGTGATCAGCAGTTGCCCAAACCCTCAGTCACAAGGACTTTTGAGTTTGTACTAGCCACTCCATTTGTTTCAGAACAGTTTTGTCTACCTAATTTCACTTAGAAGGTGTGGTTTTTAGGTACTTCCCAATGGTACCACATACTGAAATCATCACCCCCAGGTTGAATATTATCAAGAAACTACCTCCCTGATAAATTGGGCATGATAGGATTTGAACCTGGTTTACATGGTTGGAATGCAAATGTTCTAATGACTCTGCTATATGTTCATCATAACCAGAAATTATCAGATAATTGAATCAACTTGCTTTCCTATTTCAGATCTACAGTTTTTCAAAATATAACTTATAACAAAATAACAAGCAAAAATTTAACTTTTGTAATTCAGTTCATTCACTAATTTGATAGAAGATGTTAAAACTTATAACAGGATAAAAGTCTCTCCGGCCTTCACCTATTGTCATACTTCTTTTTAAATAATTTCTGTTCTGCACAATTTATTCTCACTAAGAAACTATATTTCAATACCAATCAGCTTTCTATTTACATACTTTATAATAATTGTAACTCTTCAATAAGACATTTCATAAATAAAACTTTGCATGACTGATAATAGAAAATGCTAATATCAAGTTGTTATTTCTGTCCAATTTTCTGTTATGAAGAGTTATTACTATTTACATTTTTTACATTTAAAGGAATGTCCTCATCTTTGTTGTTATGTGGGAGTGATTAACAAAGAAAGAAGGAAAGATAACAGTGGATTAAGCCAATCATCATAGAAAGGCTTCAGTAGCTGTAGTAAGAAAAGCAAAGCATCAGCAGCAGCAAAAAAATGGCGGGCAAGCATGACAGCAGAAGCAATAGGCAAGCAGTAGGAGGATCAGCCTAAAAAAAGTCCACGTTTTAACTTCAGAATTGTTCCTTGGGGCAATAACCTAGTGGATCTCAGAGTCTTGTAAATTTGGTTGTATAGTAATTGTGAGTTCAATCCCTGCACCAGGTAGAACAGGGTGAGCAATAACTGAAGAGAGAGAACAAGAAGTGATATTCCTAGACATGATCAGTGGAAGAAGAACAGTTATCCCCACATAAATTAAATTCCCTGAAGTTTACCCAGATTTACATTATGATAATAACACTTAATTATATTTATATGAATGTAATTAATATAAATAAATAATTATTCTATCAGTGTCAATTTATTGTTTCTAATCATAATTCTTACATCAATAAAATTAGTTGAAAACAAGTGAATAGAATGAGTCTTGTCCTGAAATGATCCATTCACCGAATATTAACAAAACCGTAGAGCAATGACACCTTTGTAATCTCACACAATTATCCCAACATCGCTTCCACTTTTTAGAACAGTTTACAAAATCTTTTTTTTTTTTTATGGACTACCATCAACTGCATTGATCTTTTTCAGTCTGAAATAACCATTTGTTCATCAGCTATTTCATCTTGGAACTGCCAGAAGATGAAGGTGGAGTGAAATCTAGACTAGAAGAGGTAACTGACATTATTTGATGTGATGTTTTGCCAGAAAACAATACATAAAACATGAAAAAATAGTAAATGAGATATTAAAAGAAATTGGATATTTTCTGGACAATCTATCATCAATTGCCAGTTTTCTTTGATTGCTACATAGAAGGGTTTCCACAATGTGAATCATTTTCAGTAGATTCCCAGGCAAGTTTGAAGTAAGAGAAGAGATGGAGTTGATCAAGCTTCACAGCAAGGCAGCATCAGAGCAGGGAATAAGAACATTAGGTTTAAAGTTAAAAGTTTTAACATCAGTATTATCCAATAGGATAAGAGGCTAGAGAATTAAAGCATTGGTTTTATAGTAATTGTGAGTTCAATCTCTGGACTTGGTAGTATAGACTCTTACTCACTGGAAAACAGTTAACAATAATGGAATAGTACGAGAAAAGGGCTTCACTCATTGAAATCATCTTTGAAAACTTCCTTTTATCACTTGAATAGTTGTTGCAAATGAAATCATAGATAATTTCATCCCATAGAACAAAATACCAACAGAAACCAAAGAGCCAGGCTTGTTTCATGATAGGATATACTGCAGCTATAACCTACCATAACCAATGCTACCATCTCTATTAAAGAGAAGAGTAGTGGCACTCTTATTGCATTCTATAATGCCTGCAATCATTGCAAAAAAGTTCTAGAAAATGCAAACAGCAGCTTTGCACAGTCAATCCAAACTAAGGTTGGAAATAAAATACTTGGTTCCTGTTCTTTCTGAAAATTCTAACCATAACCATTCACAGCAAGAACATGCCATACCAATTACCTAGTAGCAAACTATCCACATTCCATCCGTCTCCTATTGGTGAGAAGTAGGTTCTACTCAAATAGCTTCTTCTTGCGAACTACTTCCCTGTGGAACCACCTCCTAATAGGATATTTTGCCCTGATTACTACAATCTTAACCTGTTCAAGGCTAGGTTTAACTGTTATCTTCCACTTCTATACATACAAATGGCCTCCAAATGTAACCATCTACCTCAAGTCTTGTAAAGGGTGAACCTCACTGTAAAAAAAAAAAAAAAAAAAAAAATCTCTTCCACAGTGAATGATTCCAATTGTCAACTTCTACGTCTGGTAGAAATGTCAATTAGCGCTCAGGTGCTTCAAGGTGATTCAGTTTCTTAGTTACTATATTAAAAATAAATCAAAAGATTTGTCTGAAAATGAAATGTTTTTTCCCAAAATAATTGGCTTGGAAGGGGTTAACAGGTTGGTTCATGAAGGTTTGTTGTTAATGGCCAGCATCAGGAAGCGATAAAATCAGTGCTAGCATTCCTCAGGGTACTCTTCTCAGTCTTAAGGATCTGCCTAAGAACATAAACCAATTTTTAGTGAATATCTATGTTGATGATATAAGAGTTTATAGCTACACCCCTAAAATGTCCAAAACCAAATGCATAATGTTCCACCATCACTGAACTGATGCTGAAATTTCATCTATCATGATGAATGGGTGCTTTCTCAAGGAGGCTCTTTGCCTTAAACATCTATTGGAACTCAAGCTCTTCCCAGACCTCATGTAGAACTCATATATGATGATCTATTGCTAAAGATGCTGGAAAATGGTCAGTTCATGGTACCACTCCAGTAAGTACCTGACTCTTCCTGCTCTCCTCTCTCTTTACAAGAGATCACATTAAAAATGAAGTACTGCTGTCATATTGGGGTTGGAGCTGATCAGTTCTCACTTGCCTGTCATGATACAGTATAAAGTGTGTATGTGGCCTTGTGGGTGATGAATTGCCACCCTAAAACCCCTTTTCCACAGATGAAACATCACAAGCCTCTTGCTACTCTATCAATACTTCCATAGCAAGTGTTCTAATGAGCGACATTTCTTATTTCCACCACCAGTCCCAACCTATGCAATTGGGACCCACCATCCCTTGTACACAAGGATGAATATTCCAGTAGTAAGAAGTAAGTTCCACACAGACCGCTTCTTTCCAAGAACTTCTGCTTTGTGGAATTGTACTTATAGCAAGATGTTTTCCTGATTTCTGATTTTCACTACAATTTTAACCTCTTCAAGTCTAGGTTCATCTGTTATCTATCCTACATATCCTCATAATCTGCACTTTCTCCTCGTATGTCCATGCAATAATATCCTTCAGTAACCCTATGCCTTGAGTGGCCCTTGAGCAACATGGCAATTCACAGGTAATAAAACAAAGAACTTGTGGAGAGCCTTGATCACCCACATTCATAGCAATTACAGTCCTAACCTCTTCATGTCTAAGGTTGACCATTATCTTCCCTACATAGCCTCATGAACTGCATGCCTTGCATTTTTTGCTCATACATATCGTACAGTAATGCTCTACCTTGAGTGACTCCTGAACTTTTTTATTGCGTGAAGATTAGTATAAAAAAAAGAATATTTTTTACATATTCTTTGTGGATGTGACTGCCACTCAGTACAAAAGCTCACTTTTGAGTAACTCCAGTGTCTGTTTCTGTATGTGCGATTAAGTCTTCTCTCTCAGTGGTTGCACATTTTTGTTAAAGCTGTACAACCAGTTCTTGAGATACAGAACATGGCTGGTTAGTT